CACATCCCCACAGACCACATCCCCACAGGACCACATCTCCACAGACCATGTCCCCACAGAACCATGTCCCCACAGGACTACATCCCACAGGACCATGTCTCTATGGACCATGTCCCCACAGGACCACATCCCCACAGGACCACATCCCACAGGACCACATCTCCACAGACCACGTCCCCACACAACCATGTCCCCACAGGACCACATCCCACAGGACCACATCTCCACAGACCACATCCCCACAGAACCATGTCCCCACAGGACCACATCCCACAGGACCACATCTCCACAGACCACGTCCCCACAGGACCACATCCCCACAGGACCACATCCCACAGGACCACATCTCCACAGACCACATCCCCACAGAACCATGTCCCCACAGGACCACATCCCACAGGACCACATCCCACAGGACCACATCTCCACAGACCACGTCCCCACAGAACCATGTTCCCACAGGACCATATCCCACAGGACCACATCCCACAGGACCACATCTCCATGGACCATGTCTCCACGGACCATGTCCCCACAGGACCATGTCCCACAGACCACATCCCCACAGACCACGTCCCACAGGACGTCTCCACCGAACCTCATCCCCACAGACCACATCCCCATAGACCACGTCTCCACAGGGCCACATCTCCCCACAGGACCTCATCCCCTCAGGACCTCACCCCGTGTATCCGAGGAAGCTCCAGGGTCCCCAGAACCAGCTTCATGTGGCCAGGCCTGGCCCTCCTGCCCAGTGTCCTGCCCTGCTCCCTTGCAGCCATCACTCTCAGGTGCCCTTGAAGCTGGAGGGCAGGTCAACACTGTACATTTCACCACCACTCAGCATTGGCCTGGGCTGGTTAGGAAAGCACTGGGTCTTCCAGACCCTCCTGTGCAGCCAGTCCTGGGGCCTGAGCTTACATATGCAGCTCACATCCCCTCCAGGACAGACCCTGGTGATGGCATCTATAACAAGTATATGAGCTCGCAAAGGGGGCACATGTGAGTCCCCAGCCCCTGGTGGGACAGAGTGGGCCAGACACAAGACAGCCCCTTCCGCATACACGTGACCCTCGGACTTAGGCCAGCAGCCAGGAGCATCAGCACCCACGTATGGACACAAGGCAGCCCCTTCCGCACATACGTGGCCCTCGGCCTTGGGCACCCAGGAGCATCAGCACCCACGTGTGCATGCTTGTTTAAGTCCTTAGCTGGCTGCAGGGTGGAGAGAGGGGTGGGCAGCTCTGGGAGTCTTGGTGCTGGGTGTGCTCCTGGCCTCAGCGTCTCCTGAGCAAACTGGGGGCTCTGTGGTGGTGTAGGGAGCCATGGACTGAGCCCTGAGAAGCTCAGGTAGGCAGCCAGGTGGGGGGTGGCAGACCTAGAGCCTTGGGCAGCCGCCAGCGGCCGCCTCTGCCAGCCACCACTTTGCAGCCGTGTTTGCAAACCTCAGCAGGCTTGCCAAGCCTGTGCAACCCGCATTGTCTTCTGGCTGGGCCTCCACCAGAGACACTCCACAGGAGCCACTCGGGGCAGTTCCAGGACACTGAGGGTGGAGGTCTGGTGGCCGACCCTGGACGGGGCTGGCTGACTGGAGTCTCCATGGGCAGCCCTGTGCAGGCAAGTGCCACCACTGACCAGCCTGTCCGTGGGAATGTGGCTGCAGCTCCCTACACCTCTCAAAGCCCCTGGGGTGTGGTCCACTCACCCTGGGATAGTGAAGCAGCTCTCACCCCGTTCCACAGGCCCCAGGCCCAGGGTTACCCAACACACGCCAGCCTCCCAAAGAGAGGAAATACTCCTGCAACCTGGCAGCTCCTCCCACAGCGGCAGACCCAGGCTTGGCGTCCTGGCAAGGTGTGGGCTGGGCCTCTGCAGCGTACAAATGCCTCCCCGTGTGGGGGTGCCCTCCCTGGACCAGCAAGCTGGGATTTGGCAGCAGGGCTGGAGCTGGCGGACTCCAGTGTGGAAGACACAAGCCCCTGCAGCCCAGCTGGCCATCAGCTGCCCACTCGCAAGCAGGCCAGCTCCCAGCGGCCACGGCCTGCCCAGCCTGCCCTCTTCCATGGCAGGAGCTCCCAGGTTATGCACCCCCACCCAGCCCGGTACCCTGAGGGATGGTCTCACCCTATCTGGAGTGGCTGAGCCTGGCTAGGAAACGTGGAACTGTCTCTGCTGCCCCTCCCCCGGCCCCTCTAGGGCCGCCGAGACCCCCAGACGGTCTGGCTCAGGCCTGGGTAGGTAACCAAGCATCTCAACCGAGCACAAGGCCGAGCCTCCCACAGCTCAGTTCTCTCAGCCTCGAAGCCTCCTGGTTCCTATCCCCACCTCGGGGCTCCATGTGCACTGGCCCACGCTGCAGGGGCCTGGCTGGACCCCTAGGCATCCTCCCAGCAGCCTCCTGGGCCCCCCACCAGAAAGGAAACACACTTCAGACAAACAGAACTTGCCCAAGACTCGCCCAAACCCCACATTCCAGACCTGTGGGTGAGGGGCTCTGGGGCCAGCCGAGGTTAGGGTGCTACCAGGACACCACAGTGCCTGCCCCTGCCCCGGCCCCTTCCCCGGTCGGTTGTCCTTGTTGTTCCCAGGTCACAGCGTGCCCCGCCACCCCCAAGCAAGGCCTTTGCTGTTCTTCCGAAGGTGCCTGGGCTCTGTACTGAGAACCTGGCCATGTGGAGTGTTCCCACATCGAGGGGGAGGAAAGGGTAGGGCCTGGCTGGGATGCTCTGAACCAACCCTTGGCTGGGGCTCTGGCAGGACGGAGCTGGTGGCTGCTGTTCTGGCATACTAGCCCAGGCCGGACACTCACAGCCACGGCGAGTGTTGATGGCTGTGTCCCCTCTGCCCACCCAGACCCCGGCGCTCCTTGCAGGGTAACCTCCGTCACAGCACATGATGGCCACGCCCCCACCTACCACGTCAATGAGCTGAGCAATGGACAAGCCGAAGCGGACAAGGACCACGTCCGAGATGTTGGCCACGGGTCGGGACCACTTGTTGTAACCCGAGAAGAGTTTCTTCAGGAGCCGCTCCTCGGCGTGGGCCCGGGTCTCCACATGGCTGCTGGCTGCGGGGAGAGGCAGGTCAGTGCTCAGGTGCAGGTGGGACAGGAGCCAGGAGCTGTCCTGGCTGCCCCAGTCCCCTGCCCAGCACGCTCAGCCACGTCCACTTCCTTTCAGCTCCTCACAAGAGCACCGCCCACCCCAGGACCTCTGCGTGTGCCGGGCGTGGCATGCGCTGCCCTCCTTTGGCTTCCGTCTCTCTCCCACCCCTGGGTGTAACTGTGATTTCCTCCGGGAAGCTTCCCAGGCCCCTCAGCCCACAGAGGCCTTTCCAGCACCTTGCACCGCACCACAAAACCAGGCAATGGATGGGCTGAGAACTGCTTTGGGTCCCCTAACTGACTTCTAGGGAAGGGCTGTGCCTCCAGCGGCCGGCGAGTCAGAGGACACTTGGGGGTAACAGCAGCACGGGATGGGGCACAGGGCAGCGGGGCCAGCCCAGGCAGGGAGAGGGAGGAAGAGGAAGGAGGATCGGCCCCCAAAAGCGCCCACTTCCTAGGGAATCTCCTGTGGTTCATCAGTCCCCTGATGCTGGAGAAGTGTTTCAGATGCAGGTGCCCAGCCCCCTCCGCACCCCAGGCCTCCGCACCCCAGCCCCCTCCGCACCCCAGCCCTCCGCACCCCAGCCCCCTCCGCACCCCAGCCCTCCGCACCCCAGCCCCCTCCGCACCCCAGCCCCCTCCGCACCCCAGCCCTCCGCACCCCAGCCCCCTCCGCACCCCAGCCCTCCGCACCCCAGCCCCCTCCGCACCCCAGCCCCCTCCGCACCCCAGCCCTCCGCACCCCAGCCTGCCCGAGCTCTTGGTCAGACCCAGAACGCCCTTGATGAGTCCCTCTGGAGGAGCACAGCCCCAGGTCGAGCACAGCCCCAGGTCCATCTGTGCTCCAGGTCTGGGGCCCGGGGTCTGAGGCGTTCCCCGCCTGTCCTGGGCGCTGCCACATGGGGCGGGTCTGGATGGAGGGGGACCTTCCACCTCCCTGCTGGGCCCCGCTCGCCTGAGAGCGCAGACAGGACTGGGGAGGGGGAGGGGTCAGTTCTACACCCCTGGGAGCCTTGACTCCAGCCCGGAGTCCCTACTCCCGACTTTGTTCTTCCTGCAGAAAAGGTGGGTGGGGCCGCCAAGGGCAGAGGCCACCCCTCTGATCCCCTAAACCGGAGGAAGCAGGCATGGGAGTCTTCAGGGAAATTTAGCCTGATGGATGGGGGAAGGGCGAGGGGGCCCCACCTCTGTTCAAGTTCGAGCTTTTGGGTCCAGCCCTGAAACAGCAGCAGAACCCCCACCCCCGCGGAAACCCCCTTCCCAGCCTCCGCATTCGTCGGCGGTTAACTCCCTCCTCGCCTGGCTCAGCCGGGTGCGAGCGCAGCCTGTGCGGCCGGGGATGGGGAGCCTCTCTGCCGCCCCGTTGCGCGCACCCGCGGCTTGGGATCGCAGTCAGGAGCCGCCTCCCTCTGGCTCCGGGGGTCCCAGGCCACCCGAACGCGGGCGAAAGGGGGCCCATCCCGCGCCCCGAACTTACCGCGCAGGAGGCCGATCCCCAGAAGCAGCAGCAGCGGGGGCAGCAGCCGCGGCGCCCCGGGGCCCCCGAGCTCCATGGCGCACGCACCTCGCGGGCTCTAGATGCGGGCGGCTCCCGGCTCCCCCGGCTCCGAGGCCCGTGCGCGCCCAACTTCATGCCTCCCGCGCCTCGCGGGCCGCTTCAGCCGCTGGGCCCGGTTCCGCTTCTTCTGCGGGGCGCGGTGCGGCGGCGGCGGGGCCGGGAGCGCCGGGCTGTGGGCTCTGTGGCGCGGCCCCGCCCGGCCCTGCCCGCCTCAGCCGGCTGGGAGGGGGAGCAGGGGAGGGGAGAGGAGGGGGAGCAGAGGAGGGGAAGAAGGGGAGGGGGAAGTATGGGGGGAGGGGACGGAGGGAGGAAGGGAGGAGGGAGCAAGGGCCGGGAGAAGGAGCGGTGACGGACCGCGCGCCCAGGGGTACTGGGAGGCTGCGCTGGGCCCCGGGCAGGGGTAAAGTTTCCTTGTCCGCCCGGGGTTCCAGACGTGCCTGAGTCAGGGATGGGGACCTCGGGGTCACTGCGTGCGACTGGGGGGTCCCGGAGCGGGTCTGACCTCCCTCCCCACATCTCCAGCCTGGGCGCCCGCTGCCTGCCTGGAGGGGTGGGGGCGCGTCTAGGGGATCCGGCTCAAGGAGAGGCGCCCCTAGCACATCTGGGTTACTCCATCGCGCCAGCCGGTGTCTGCAGCCTGAAAATCTCTGGTCTTGTTCTCCCGCTAGCCGTTCAGGACTCTCTCCGCCTGCAGCCCCCGCCTCCCCCGGTACCTCCGCCAGGATCCAAGAGGCGTCCAGAGGGGAGCCCAGGCCCTGCGCCCGCCTTCTGGTGAGGAAGATCCCCTCCCCCTCAAGGTCCAGCCTGGGGTCAGGGTCTGTCGGCCCCACCCCTTGCGTGGCCTGCGAGCCCCGTGGACTTCGTGGCATGAAGTCACGCCCCCATCCCCCTGCAGTGGGTGAGGGCGTGTAACAGAGCGTCTCCCCGGCCGGGTGCTTGGAGAGCAGACCCGAGGCGCCCCTGGCCTGGCATTGAACAATACGGGTCGCCCCGGAGGTGGCGCACAGTCCCCAGGGAAGGGCCCCGCCTCAGGTGGGTGGCGAGGTGGCCGCCACAGAGTAGCAGGTGCGTTGGAGGAGGGGCGCCTTGTGCGGCTGAACTTCGCGTGCAGGAGGAGAGGGCACTGGCTCTGCGGAAACATCAGACCCGGCCATCCCTGCAGCCGCGCCCCTGGCCCAGCCTCACGCTCAGCCGCTGGGACACAGCCCCCGAAAACGGAGACTTCCGTCGTCGGTAATGGAGGGCAGAGCAGAAGGGGCTGGAGAGGTCCCGAGGCCCTCCGCTTTCACGCCCCTCCCTCCAAGGCTGCAGGTCGGGCGACGGAGCTGTCAGTCAGGAGTCCCCTGGAGCAACCCCCACTCCAGTACAGGCCTCTGGAGCCTTACAGCTCCCTTCCTATCGACTCTCCCATCTCCTCTGTCCCCACCCCGCACCTTCCTTCTCCTCCTCCTCCCAGCTTCTCTGAGCAGCCACTGCTCCTGCCCACCTGCCTCTCCCCTCTCTGCCCACCTCTCCTACACTCCTGATTCCAGGTTGAGCTCATGGCTCCTCGTACACCTGCTCTGGGACGGGCAGGAGCTCCTCCTCACTGGCCGGAGCTGTCTGTCCGCTCTGTGGGCAGTGCCTGCAATTAGAGCTTTCAGAATGCACAGCTGCTGCGCAGTGGCCGGTTCCGCGACAACACCTGGCCTGCTTCTGTGGCCCTCCCAGTGCTGCTGGCCCAAGCAAGCTGGATGCAGGGACCCCCTGCACTTCCACGGCCCCCTCAAGGTGGGCTCTTAAGAGATAATGCAAGTGCAGAGAGGTTAAGCAGCTTGCTGAAGCTCACACAGCAGTACTGGGTTTCCAACCAAGCCATCTGGCTTTAGGGTCTGCACCCCGGCTCCTACTGGCCTCAGGTGTAGTTTTGGGCTGAGGTGCCCTTACTGGGACAGATCCCAGGTCTGCTTTCCTGCAGTCTTTCCTGGAGCCACCAGTCTCCACACCCACCCTGCTGACGGCTCTCCCTCAGACCACCCTGCAGATCCAACCCTCAATGGTTTCGAGGTCCTGTTTCCCTAGGCAGACTGAAGTCCCCCAAGGAAGGATTCCCTCTCTTCCTCCTCCTCTCCTTGCTCTCCCCAAGCCCCTGGGCAGTGCGAGACCCTGGTCCTTCTGGTCTACATGAAGCCCCTCCATGGGCAAGTTCTGTGCCAGGAACTAGAAGGTTCCAAGCTGGATGGAGATTTGGGCTGAGCAAGCAGCTGGTAACACAGGGAGGGGAGAGAGCAAAGTCCCCCTGAGGCCCCGTGAGGGCAGCCTGCTGACCTCTGACCCACTCACAAAACCCCACCCCGGCTCCCTGCGGCACAGCCCACGAGGCTCCCTGCTCAGGAAGGGGATGGAGAGGTGGCAAGGCCGGTGGCTCCCGCACAGGGTAGAGCAGCCTGTGCCCTTTGGTTCAGGCCCCACCTTGGTGAGAAACCCCTGCCTGTGGTGTCGCAGAGCAAATGCCATTGGCAGAGCTGATTCCACATTCTTTTGTTGGTGGAGAGGCCAGCCACGCTGCGGTCCCGGCTGGAGTCCCTGTGAAACGGGGTTTTTGTTTCTCTGACTTGGCAGCTGGTCGAAACGGGGCTCATCTGCTGCTGATAAAGTGATGTCCGCCTCGTGGGTTCCACGCCCACACCCTGTGCCCCACCCTCCCGTGGCAAACCAAAGACCCTTTTGGGAAGGGGACGCCCCTGCTCCTGCGCTTGAGCTCATGGTTTCGCCCTGGACTTGCTAAAATTGAGGCTCCTGCGGAGGTTATCTGGGGTCAGAGCAGGGGAAGGGGCGTGTGGTGAGCTGGGTGAATCCCTGAAGGGCAGCCTGAGGGCCACGGGCATCCACTCAGCTGGGCACAGAGGAGTTTGTTTAACTCCAGATTCTGGAGTCCCACCCTCAGACACGGTTCAGTCTGGGGTGAGGCCTCCACATCTGTGGCTTCCACCAGCCATTGCTGGGCAGCTCTGATGCAGGCAGCCTCGGAGTGCCCCGAGAAATGTCGGCTGAGAGCCACTTGGCGCAGGGCTGATGCAGAGGGTCAGTGTCCCCCATCCCAGCCAGGGCTCAGCCCGAGCCTGGTGTCCTGGCCTGGGGCAGGGGCTGGAATTTGCCCCGCGTTGGTGCAGGGGAAGAGGCCATGGGCCTCTCGGCAGGAACCTGGCAGAGGCTGGGAGGCTAAGCCAGCTTTGCCTTTTCTGTCTCCTGCTCACTTTTCCAACAAAACAGGCCCAGGCTTCCACGGGGTCTAGCGGTCTCAAGCCTGCGGCTCTCCCTGGTGGATTCCCGCAGGTGAGTTCGCTCTGAGAGCTCAGCCAGGGCCAGCAGGCATGTCCCTCCCGGAGCCAGGGGCCAGGCCAGGTCAGCTGGATGTCCAGGGCTCTGGCGACACAGCCCTGTGGCCAAGTGCGCACGCTCCCACGCATCTGTCCAACCTCGCCGGCTTCCCCTTTGGATTTGCTAATGCAGCAAGATTAATCGGGTCTAACTCATTAATTTGCACAGCCCCTCCCTTCACCTGCGCCCGCTGGAGAGCGCTGGTTGTGGGAACCCAGTAATCACCAAGGCTGAATTAGATTCCGACTCTGCGTCCTGGCCCTTGCCTCTGCTGCTCCTGAAATTTCTGCTGCAAGGGAAACAAAAGCTCTGGGTTCAAAGTCCAGTGAGACCAGATTTGGGGGCACAGTTCTTCCTTGGCCTGAGTCGCCCTAGGGGGCTTGCGGGTGGGTTTGGGGACACAGCCAGGCCCTTGCAGACACCAGCCCCCCACCCCCACCCATGTCACCACCAACTCCAGGCTGTCACTGGCTACGTGCAAAGCAGCTGCCCCAGGAGGACGGCTCTGGGGTGGTTTTTCTCCCTCCCTCACTGCCTCCACCTGCCCATGGTAACCAAGGGTTTGTAGTAAAGGTGAGAGCATTGGGGGGCACCAGCTGAGCCTGAGCTGCACCCGAGGAGATGGCTGCGGGAGGCAGAAGGCACCGCGCTGTGGGCTCAGCCCATGGACGGGGGGCCCTGCTGTGCTCCCATCACCCCGAGGACTCAGGACCTGGGCTCAGGACCAAAACCCTCTGTGGGGCCAAGTCACTCGCACCCCGTCTGTGAGGCCTGAGCACGACGCCACGCTTTGCTGCTCACCTGAGTCTGGCCTGCGTCCCTCCCACCCTGTTCCTCTGAGGCAGGAAACCACGAGGCACACTAGTGAGCAGCCACGTCGGCCCCAGGCCACCTGCCCCTTCACAGACATGAGTAACCCATAATGAGAGTGGCCTCCTGGAACCTCACCAGAGCCCAGGTGCTCCCGCAGGCTTGGCTCCCTGCCCCAGGCTGTGCTCCCAGCTCCCTGCCCTCTCCTGGTGCTCCCTGCCCTCCCTACCCTCTCCTGGTGCTCCCTGCGCTCCCTACCCTCTCCTGGTGCTCCCTGCCCTCCTTACCCTCTCCTGGTGCTCTGCCCTGCAGGGAACAGACAGTGCTTTTCCTCCGGTTTAGAGAGGAGATCTTGGAGCCCTGTCTGTCCATTTTACTCAGCCCAGGTTTTGAAGACCGTTAAGTGTAGGAGAAACATGGGAACTGGGCCCAGATTGCCAAAGGGGCAACGCGTTCTCCTCACGCCCCTTTTCCCCACCTGCAGCTGCTTTCATCCTGGGCCCTGGCTAGAGCTGCGTTTGCTGAAAAGCTATAGGGCACAGCTGCTGGGGTGATAGTGGGAGACGGAGGGTGATAGTGGGAGACGGAAAGGTTGGTTGAGAGGCCTGATTCCTTCCAAGCATCACAACCTGAAATCACCAAAGGTTTCCTTGTTGAGAAGGAGTGAATGGAGCACCGGAGCCAAGGCCCTCCCCACCAAGACACCAGCAGCTGATCCCCACCTTCCCAACCAAAGCCACGAAGCAGAGGCCGAGCCGAGCCAAGGTCAGGGGCCTGGGGCCACGGTGGATTTCCTCCCATGGGAACGTCCTTAACATCCGCAGCTCGGGCCTGAGGGTCTGCCACCGGACCCAGCAGCTGCCACAGGTGTCCTGGCTCAGGGCTGGGGCTGTCTGCAACTCCCCCTCTCCCCTGAGCCCTCTGAGTGGGGTTCCCCAAGCTCCAAGGGGCTCCCGCCACACCTGGGCTTCCTGGGGGCTCTTTGTAGACAGTGATTGATCTCCATTGGCTCCAGTTTCGTGGCTGTGTTTCTGCCCTCCCTCCACACTCCCTGCTCTCTGCTGAGTAGCTAATTCACTCTAAGCACGCTCCAGAGGAAGGCTCCAGCCTCGCAGTGGAACTGCAGCCATGCATGAGAATGATCGGCACCAGGTCTGCCTCCACGTCCCGCTGATGGCCCAGAGACCGTGCGGCGGGAAGGTGGCAGCGAGCTGAGGGTTGGAACTCTGGCTGCGCCCCTGCTGCCAGGGGACCTCAGGCAATCATCTTTTTCTCTGAGCCTTAGTTTCCTCAGCTGTGGGGACGGTTCCAGCCCTGAGTCACTGGGCTGTTGTGAGGATGGAGATGAGGTCGTGCAGGCTCCTGGGTCCAGCAGTCATTCTTCTGCACTCTCAGGGGAGCCCTTGCCAGCATCTGAGGGTCACGGTTCAGTGGCTTCAGGTCTGGACAGGGCCGGAGGCCAGGCCCCAATGTGGTGCAGCTAGGGGAGAGGGCAGGCCCTGGGGCCGTGGGCCATCGGCTCACAGCCACATCAGGGGCCAGGAATCCCATCAGGGCTCAGCCCTAGGCTCCCCCCAGCACCCCCTCCCAATCCAGAGGACACTTCCAGCCCTGAGCAGTGGGCTCTGGGCAAGCGACTGGAGAGGGAGTGCATCTCGGCTCTTTGTGAGGAATTATGTCCTGACAGGTCACTGGCACAGAAAAGCCCTTTCGTCCCAGCCAGCTGGCTGCCTAATGATGTCCAGCCTGCACCTTCCAAGGCCACCTCTGAGTCCAGAAAGGATGGAGCTGGCTCCTGCCTGGGAGGCACAAGGGCCACAGTTTCGCTGGGGTCGGGGTGGGGAGGGTGGGTGAAGGCTCCGAACACCTCTGCACGTTGCCCCGGAGCTGCGGACGGAGCTCAGGTAGCCGCCAAGACTTGCTGTAGATCCGGTGACCCCTCCAAGGAGAGTGCTGAGTCCTGGAAAATTCTCTTCCTCCTCCTCCACTCCCTGTCACCTTACCCTCTCCTGTGTTCCCCCAACCAGGACCCAGTAGAGAGGAGACCCCTGCCGTTGTGGGATGTGGCTTCCCCCAGTGCCCACGAGACCCTGGGGCTGGCCCCTCTGGGCCCATAGAAGCTCCCATGAGATTCTGATGCATGGTGAGGGCCTCACACCCTGCCTCTGGCTGCCCTCCTCCCTAGGCATGTACCAGTGCCCACTCGGCCTCCCCAGGCATATCAGGGCCCCACTTTCTGGGGTATGTGTGAGCCACGGGACCCCGAGTCAGGAGATCCACGCCTAAGCCTGATTCTGCCCCCTCCAGGTTCGGGACCCTGGGCAGTCCTCCACCCGTCTTAGCCCAGCCTCCCCACCCATAAAATCGGGGCTG